TTTTCATTCTGATCATTTATGTATACATTTGTCTATATCTATCTCGATTCGTTTTGCCTGTTACAAACAACCGTTATGTGAACAAAGTTATAATACCCTTGTGCACAAGTGCGCTCGGGTATAAAAATATTCCGACGAACTGATAACCTTCCTCCTTTTTTGGAAGTCGGTTAAAAAACATTAGCGCTGAGTTAAAATCCGGTATAACACTCCTATATAAAAAACATTTACGTAGAATTCGGAACTTAACCACTATTATATAAATGTTCTCACGAAGTTGGTCTACATTAGGGTGATCCAAAAATGAACGTGAAAATGTAGTCGGAATTTTTATGCTCTCACCCTCTAGGATTGTTCTATGCCGAAAAAAATATACCCCTACTTTTCATTTTCAAATCAAAAAATATTTGGAGGTTTCCTCAAAGCACTCAAAGGTTTCTATGCATTTTATATGAAAAAAAAACACTTTTCGTAGGAATGGTATATAATTCTTAAAAATCTATATTTTTGGATCGGAAAACTGAGTTTCTCCTCAGGATATTGCCCAAAATAATACCCAATTATTTATTTAATATATTTTTTTTTTTTATGGTTACTATATTTCATAGCTCCCCCAAAACACCCAGAAAATGCCAGAAAATGGAGGATAAATAAAAAATCTTTAGTATTAAAAAATGGTTAAATAAACAACTGTGTATCGAAAAATATTGATTTTCAAGAATTCTATACCATTTCTACGGAAAGTGGTTTTTCCGCATATAAAATACATGGAAAACTTTGATCGCTTGTTTGATTTCAAAATTAAAAAGTAAGGGTATATTTTTTCGATATGAAAGAAATCTAGGTGGTGAGAGCTTTATAATTTTGACTTTACTTCTTTTTGCATCACCCTAGTATACATACTTATGTACGCTACTGGAACGATCCAGATTATTTTATTATATTATATTATTTTATTTTTTATTGCCCAACTTTGACAAAAAAAAAAAATATTTGTTATTTGATGCCCAGTGGACACTTCACATTCAAGTTCTTTGTTTTAAAATNAACCCTTGTATATATACTTATGTACGCTACTGGAACGATCCAGATTATTTTATTATATTATATCATTTTATTTTTTATTGCCCAACTTTGACAAAAAAAAAAAATATTTGTTATNCACCCTAGTATACATACTTATGTACGCTACTGGAACGATCCAGATTATTTTATTATATTATATTATTTTATTTTTTATTGCCCAACTTTGACAAAAAAAAAAAATATTTGTTATTTGATGCCCAGTGGACACTTCACATTCAAGTTCTTTGTTTTAAAATATTTGTAATTGCAAAAAAACTGATTTTAGTGCTTATGAAAACACGACAGTGTGCTGAAGAAATTGAGTTTCAACAAAACACAAGTTATTTTTCCATAAAAATAGAGAAGCACTTTTACTGCGATATTTAATATTTTTTTTCTTTTATTCAAAACACAAACACAAAATCAAACTCAACAATTTTTAACATCTAAACATAAAACTATTCTATTTGCAAAAATTCTACAGTTGCAAAAACTAATACTACTCGTACATAAATATGCACTTCTTACGCATTGCTAGGACTCATCAATGTGTGGCAGTGCTAAAAACGCATTGCTCTCAAGATATATGTATCTACCTAAATGTAGATTAAACTACACCAATTTTGCTTCCATCTAACTTATTCTCGTTGAACAATTTCGATAGTATGTAAATTTTCGCTCCACCGCCTTCTCCTCTGGCTCACGACACTCGCTTCTACCGAATTGCACAGTGGGATAAACTTCCTCCCATTCGGCTTCGGGGCGACTTAGGACACCTTTAGGACGCACATATCCTTGCGGCTGCTGGTGCGGCTGCTGTTTCTGTTTATCTGTCCGCTGTTGTTGTAGCTGTTGGCTCGTCATCATAGTGGTGCCTATTTGATCTTCAACTGGCAATGGATTGTTCAACATTTGGGTGACACTACGCGACAACAGCACTGGCTGTATGCGATTATAGCCATTGCAGCTGGGCTTATAGCGCGCAAATTTAACTGACAACCGCTCCATTTCATCGGACATCCACTTTTGCACTGATTTTGTGGGCATAATTAGTTTAGCAATGTGTGTTTTGGTTTTTGCTAACGGTGTCTAATTTTTATTTCGAAATTTAATTTCTTAATAACTGCTCGAACGCTGAAAATGTACTAAAAGTGCAACAAGGCCAAGCGCTCAGTTTTATACGAAAGTGTGGACAGAACAAAGTCTAGATTACATACTTACGTAGTTCATTTGAAATACTTACCCTCTTCCCAAAGAAAATGTAACTGACTTTTAAAAAAGAATGATGAGAAAAAATTCGAGGTATGTGTAATAAAAAAAGAATTCGAGAAAAACGAGCGAGTGATAAACATCTTGCTAATTTTCGATATCGATAAATATGTAGAAAGCTTTCGAGATAAGCATATCGATGGTTTTCGATGTTAATAGATAAATCGATAATTTTCGATATCGATAGAAAAATCGATAGTTTTTGTATCGATAGAAAATAGACAATTTTCGATATCTGTGGAAAAATCGATCATTTTCGGTATCAATAGAAAATCGATAGAAAAATCGATAATTTTTTGATAACGAGAGATAAATCGATAATTTTCAATATCGATAATGATGTCGATAAATATAAAAAAGCTTCATATAAATAAATCAGATATCTTCTACATACATATGCGGGTAACCGGACTGCTCTACACTAAATTTTTCATATCACTCTTTTCAAAATAAAATCTTTCGATTGATTTTTGGATATCTCTTATCTGAGATATTTACTAAAGTTTTTTCGGTAATTAAGTACAAATTGAATTAATAATACAGTCATACTGAATTAATAAAGATCTATCTTTTGGATACCTATCGCCTTACGAGATATATATAGTTTACGAGATATATTTTACTAAAGAAATTTGTTCATAAATTTAAAAATAGTTAACAATAAAAATAGTAAACAATAAAAATAATAAAATAATTTAAGGACTTCGAAAACATTCTTCGAGACCTTGGAGCAAATCAATCGTCGTCTTTTTGAGAGATATTGCATTCCAAACTTCTATTGCGACTTCGCAAAACCTGCCGAAAAACGGTATTTTGCCAAAACCTCGAATCACAGAAATCTTTACCACTTCGTATCTCGCAAAATTAATTCAAAATAGGCCTTAAAATAATACGATTCATTACACTGGTCTACAAGGGTTTTGCGAATAAGACGGGACCTGGTGTTTCCGAACGGATTTTTCGTGCTGAACACGAATCTGGGGTCCAAAACTTCCCATCACGTCACGTTTTCGAGAAAAAAGGGGTTGAAACCCCTAAAAACAGCGTTTTTGGCCATTTTTGAAAAATTGTAGAGCTGAACCCTGACGTGCTACAAACTTTGTATATGTCAGAAATTAAAGGCTAAATCGTGCCCTTTCGAATGAGCCCTATGCCGAATTAATCGCATGCACCCTTAGATCAGGGGGTGTATTTGTGTCTAGGAGTCCAATTTTTATATCCACCATATTCGACCCGTCATCTTAAATTTTTAAAATCTAACTGCAGATTCGTAATCAGCGACTTTTAATATAGTTAAAACCTTGGCATTATTAATTTTCTATGATCGTTTAAGATTAAATTCTTTCTGTGATCAATTTTTCCTGCACCCCTAAACACAAATACACCCCCTGCTTTAAGGGTGCACGCGATCAATTCGGCATAGGGCTCATTCGAAAGGGCACGGTTTAGCCTTTAATTTCTGATATATGCAAAATTTGTACCACGTCAGGGTTCAGCTCTATAATTTTTCGAAAATGGCCAAAAACGCTGTTTTTAGGGGTTTCAACCCCTTTTTTCTCGAAAACGTGACGTGATGGGACATTTTTGACCCCGGATTCGTGTTCAGCACGAAAAATCCGTTCAGAAACACCAGGTCCCGTCTTATTCGCAGAAAAAAAGTTGAAATTTGTAGACCAGTGTTATATATTATTTTTAATTAACTAAAAAGTACCTTATCTTTAATAACCAGTAAAAAAGTTATTAAAATCGATTTTCTGTTATTAATAGTTTTTTTTTGTTTTTTTTGTGAGTGTTGTTTAAGGGAGTTTAGAGATACGAGGTTTTGCCAAAGTACCGTCGATATGTACATACATCCATATGTAGTTCTTTATCGAATTGTTAACCTCTTTTTTCGTTGAAACTTATTTAAAATATATTTACTGCGAATAATGTGTTGTGGTAATGTCTGCTATTGATCTGCTGGTGAAGCCTTTTGCCGCCGTTTTGCGCTTGACTTGTCGTAAGTAGTGTCTTGTAGGTGTGTGAAATTGCATCAGCAGATGATGTGCTGTTGTTGTTGTTGCAAATGCAAGTGGTTCATGAGCATTGCGGTAGGCTGATGTTCGTACAAAAATTCAAGTGCATAATTGCAAGGTTGATTACCGCACCGTTTGCATTTTTCTTTTAACGGTCATTGTTTGGTTATTTTGTCGGTAATATATTTGAACAAAGGTCAATAGGATCACTGCTACGCAATTAAAAGTCTACGTAACGTTAATGTCTATGTAATGTAATGACTCAAATTAAGTAAAATAAATTTAGAATTTAGATAATCTTGAGTGAAATTAGCAACTTCCACGTATTGTAATGCACATAGAAATATTTTGAAAACATGTCTGCAATGACGAATTTGAGGTTAGGGTATTATTTTGCAGGGCCAATTCGTTTTTGTTTTTTTTTTTGATGAACCTTGAGGTTCATGTACTAGTAGAGGCTATGGAACAGGTAAAAAAATAGTTTAACGTTAGCAGAATTTGACATACACCACAAAATCTAAAGTTATGATAAAAAAAAAAACTGAAAACGGAAAGTTGGATAAAAAAATCGGTCATAAAATAAGCTATCAAGATTTTTCCGGCTTCATCCAGCGGACTACAAAATAACATTTACTCGTAATCATGCTCAGAGAAAGTTATATGAAAGGGTTCCTAAAGAGGGCCGTACAGATAGTAAATTTGGTAGGTATTGTTCTTAAATCCCACAAATATTTACTGGGCAAAATCGGAGAAAATCTTTATAGCTTAGAGATTTTTGTACATTTAAGCAGAAAAAAAGGGGAAGGAGGTCTAGAATAGCTCTTTTTAAAGGAGGAGAATCTAGTTTGTTTCGGATAAAGCATTAGATGTGGGTTTAATACAAATATAGAGAGTAATTTTAACCTCAAGTCACTATAACTTTTTTTTTTGGATTTTTCTCAAGCTTTTTGGTTCACGAAGTCAATGGTTATCAAATTTCCTAAAAACAGTGGAAACACACAACCTTCAGCGAGTATAAGATTATCAGAGTCCGTTGAAAACTTTCCAATTTATGACATGTGTTTTGACCCAACATAACGATTCTCAGTTTTTTACCGTAACTTAAGCTTTTAGGGGTGAAATTTGAAATTCTGCTAATGCCAAAATTATTTTTTAGATATGTTTTACCACCTCTACTACATGACATAAAAAGAACATGCAATCACTTTTTTTGTAGCACCATGCGCTATTGAAGCTATAAGCCAATTTGGAGTTAGGAGATAACTACATATGTCACTTTTTGGACCTTTCACACCTGTAAGCAGGACTTTGAAGTTTACACTGAAACTCTCCAACTGGCCTTTTTTTTAAATTCAGTAAAAGAGAAAATTCTGTAAAATTGTAAAAAGATACAACTTGTCGGTGTTTAATGACGAATAGGTATTGAAAATGTCCTTTTAAGATTGTATCCCTGAATATCCTTGAAAATTTTCAATATTTATTGTTGTCAAAATTATATGTTAAGAATTAATATACACGCAACCACATCCTCGAATTTCGCCCTTTAATCTTTATTAGCTTAAAAAAAAGTAAACTTAATTAAAAGTACATTATCAATACCTATTCGTCCTTGTGAACCTCTTTTTTTAATTCTGCAGAATTTTCTCGTTCGTTTGGTGCCCATATTGTTATTATATACTGCACTGAATTTTTTAAATAAATATTTGAATTAATCACATATTTTAAATGTAAAGTCCTCTTAAACAAATTTCTTACATCAGAGAGAAAAGCTAAAAACGCAGTTTCACTATATTCGGCCCATAGCTTCGTAGCCCAGTAAAATTAAAAAGAAAAAAAATGTGTGGCAGCGATTTTTCGATTTTACTTCAAGGACGGTAATCATTCTGAGTAAAATAACTTAAATCGGCATTTAATCATTATTTTATGATCTTTATTATTTTGTTTAGAGATTGCCATTATTTATGAGTTTTATTTTTCCATTTAAAAATATTGATTATTGATACAATTGAAAGGCCATACAGACGCAACCTACAGAAATTTTTACCTCAAATTTTTGGGACTTATTCCATTCATTAGGGTATCGCTACTAGAGGTTTACGCCGCCGAGCCACGTTGTTTGTGGTAATTTTGCACTCGCTGCCGCCGAGTCATGGAAACATCGGCGCGGCGGCCGCACCGCATATTGACAACAATTTATTTATTTTTTGTTATTTTTTTTTTATAAAAATATAGTTAATTCTTTAACAAAAATCGTGTAAACTTTCGTAAAAATTTCGATCTTCTTAATTGCATAGATAGAATGTTAGAGGCTGTGCACTGCGACCTTAGGTCTATTGTGCCCCTTAATTAATTGCATACTCAAAATCTTTATAAGAAATGTAATTTAACAGCTCGAAATTTTTGTTTTTTTAATATTACACAAAGGTTGAAACTTGGATTTACACGGGTTTTATTAAAGAATGAACTATATTTTTATAAAACAAGGAAGAAAGTCTAAGTTCGGGCAGAGCCGAACATTAAATACCCGGCGCAGGTACTAAGTATATGATTTTCACCTTTGCGAAAACTAGCACTACATGGTAAGCCGGTGTGTATCAATTTTGAGTAAATTAGCGTCCTTAAATTTCGAAATATTGAAGTCTCAAGCATTTCTGAAATTTGCCGTTGTATGAAAAGTGGTCGTAATTTGAATCTCATTCCAATAATTTTCAACGTTTTGCTTCTATGTGGCAAGCACAATAATCATACCGAGTTTGGTACAAACTGGTAGAACGGTTACCGAGATACATATATGTGATCATAAGTCGGCGGTTCCACGCCCATTTTCCAAAATTTTACCATAAATGTATTTCTTGGTAAAGAATTGTTTGCAATCAGCAACTTTGAATAAATTAGCTTTAATATTTACTGATTTATCGAAGATTTCGTATTTCTCCAAATTACCGTTATATGGGAGGTAGGCGTGGTTATAGTTCGATTTTAAAAATTTTCGGCCATTTGGTATGCTGTAGCAAGGCTAACAACTGTGCCAAGTTTGGAAAAAAATGGTGCAGCGGCTACCAAGATATGCACATGTATCCATAAGTGGGCGTGGCTACGCCCATTTTCCAAAAATGTATAATATTCTTATTTTTCGTCTAAAAATTATTGCAAATATCAATTTTGAGTGAATTATCTTCAGTAGTTACTAAAATATCGAAGTTTTCGTATTTTTAAAAATTACCGTTATATGGGAGGTACGCGTGGTTATTGTCCGATTTCGCCCATTTTCAATACCAACCGTCCTACTCCCGAAAGAAGTGCACATACCAAGTTTCGTTAAGATATCTCAATTTTTACTCGAGTTATCGTGTGCACAGACGGACGGACGGACGGACAGACAGTCACCGCTTAATCGATTTCTCTTTTCATTCTGATCATTTATGTATACATTTGTCTATATCTATCTCGATTCGTTTTGCCTGTTACAAACAACCGTTATGTGAACAAAGTTATAATACCCTTGTGCACAAGTGCGCCCGGGTA